CATGCGTGCTGTGACCAAATGGAGGTAGTGTTGCCATGGATACTGCCGTGGGCAAGGGCCAGTACCAGGTTTTTCTAATCAGGCTTGAAACAGGCTACTGGCAGGCTTAGCGGTTTGCAATGACAGCCATGTCATACAACACAATTTACAGAATTGCACAATTCAATACAGATTTTCTAAAACACATGTACAACAGGGGTTTGAAAGAAAACATTACATAAATCGCTCAAGGAACTACAAATTCAGACGAAATGACGGAAGTTTAAACAACGGATCCCACATGATATCGATGAGGTAGTTATGTCATGAGGTTTATATTAACAAAGCTAGTGGCTGAATCAACAACAGGTTAGCTGAGAAGGTTGCTGAAAAACTGAAACCGCAGAAGAATGCAGAAACAAAAGTTCATATTTAGTGGGACGGGTTGAAATGCTGGGTGAAGAGTGGTTAGAGAGAGAGAGAAAAAAAAGAGCACAGGAACAAAGGAATCAAAGGACGAGAGAGCACAAAAAGAAGGGAACGGTGAAAGAACGTGTCGGTGAAAAGGGAAGCGAAGGAGGAGTGGCTCAGTCGAGAGTTATTGCACGAAATACATTTTTTTGGGGGCCGATTACGTCAAGCACATCAGATCGTGTGCTGCAAAAAGTTCAGCGTGACACAAGAAGTGGCTCGGGCAGACGCAGACACGAGGAAGGTGTGGTTTCCCCTCTCTGGGCGGAAGCAAAGGGGTTGATGGGAAGCCGCTTTCAGATGTGTGCGAGTATGTTTGCGCATGCATGTTTATAAGGGTGGAGCTCCGTGTAACAGGATCTCGACATGAAGGGAAATGCGGGCTCAGTGCAACTCTCTAATGAGAGGGGGAACCTGATCAGAGTCAGATGGGGTGCCCCGAGCGCACAGCCCCCTGCAGAAAGTGCCGCCCGACACCCTTTGTTACCTCCAAGTGAGCTGAGACCAGCCCATGAACCATGTAACTAGGTGGTTTCCAGGTTAATGAAAAGCTGTAACTCCGGTCTCACTGTCTCTCTCTGCTAAACTGCCCTCCCTCCCCAATGTACCCCCCCGTCCCCGTCCCCCATCCTCACCCCCACATTCCAGCCCCTGCCCATGAAGTGAGGGTGTCGGGGTCAGGGGCAATTAACTGTTTACTTTGTGTGAAGCATGCTACATTTACATGTTGGGCTGATTATTATCCCGAATGACTCACAATGAGACAAATGTTTCGATTTCTGGATTCGATTTAATTTTTAAGATGGCATGTATTAAAAAAGCACCAAACAGAACAGTCACAGATGCAGATGTGAAGTGGTTGTTCTCAACTTTAAGTGCTTCATAAAAGCCAATCATGGTACACAGGTCCTTTGTTCCCAAAATGATTTCACCGATTTCGCCAGCGGCTTTGAGAGAGTTGCTTTCTTCACAACATCACCAAAATTGCATATTTATTAGCCTGAAACTGTAAAAACGGAAAGAATCGTTGGATTTTCAGCTTTCAGGTGGTCATTGAAGTACTCGTCTGTTACCTGCTGTTCAGTTGTAAAAAAAAACCTAACCATATCGAAGCTTATAAATGTGATCGTTTAACAAATCACTTTGTTCTACATGTGTTATTAGCAATTTTGCGCAAAATAAACCTTTCACTTTGACCATCTTTTGCTTCTTTAAACGAGGATTTGTTGACAAGAATAACACCTGACATACTCTGGTTACCAAAACTACCAAAAATGTCCAAAAAAACAGTGCAGTTGTTTTGAGAGGGCAACAGCAAAAGTTATATTCACTGTGCATGCATTTAGGACGATCACAGTGTTCGTTTTCATCCACAAATTTGTCTCCCGAAAATGACTATCCAGCTAAACTGCATTCTCATTTTATTTTGAAACAACAAAAGGCTTTTAGTTTGAAAGCGCCACAGAGTCCACATAAAGGGGCACAAAGGGAGGACGAAGGCATAAGTCAGCAACAGGATTTTCACCCATAAGGCCGAGGTTCAGGTCCCATGTGGGGTCATTATTCTCAGACTCTAGTTTCGTTTTCACTCGCTGTTTGCTTTTGGTTTTCACCCTTTGTTTGCTTACGTGGTTAGGTTTTAGGATAATAGCACATTTGGGTTAAAGTTCAAGCTTTTCACAATAAGTTTGAAGCTTCTGCTCCATTTTACGGGTTACCAGTCCTAACCCATTTAATATGAGATTGTCTGGCTGAAAATGAACGGCAGCATGTCCTGATCTGAAATGCACTTGTGTTACAAACCCATCAGTAAACGTTTCACTGAAGCATAAGTGCAAATGCAGTTTCGTCGCGTAGGAGTGTAATTTTTGGGAGACAAGGCTGAACCTGATATTCTCTGGTGTGCACCTCGGTGTGCAAATGTTCTCAATTAAAATGTGAAAAAAAAAAGGAATCAGAATTTGGATTTTCTGCTTTTCTTGGTTGTAAATTGAAAATCTTTGGGTGCTGGGCTGTTTTTTTTGGGCACAATTCACCATTCTCTGAAATTTTATTGAAATAAAAATAATCATTAGCGGAGACCTTTTTACTAGCAGCACTGTCCAAAAGAGCCAATTTTATTGACATTAATAGCCAATTTTTCCAGTACAAGAAGTCTTAAACAACACGTGAAACCTCTACCAGCTCATTTGTTGCACAACCAAACCCTCTTGTGCTTATCTCAATGGCCAATATTATTCATGTTCGACACTCTCTCCACGATGAAAGAGGCTGTAAGTCAAGCTGATGGAAGGTGGGCTCCGCAGGAGACCCTCAGATGTAAGATCGATGTACTTGTTAGCAAAGGTGAGTAACAGGGGTCATGACTTGACTGGTCAGCGAGCTCACCACTGAGAGTAAAAGTGCAACAACAAAGGCATAAAGACATACTGTGAGACTTTTACTTTTACGTCTCATTTCTAACTTGATTGCTCAGTTGGTCAAATTCTCACCATCATTACCCAAAAGTGTCCCCCTCCCCCCATCACGGTATTTCATAGATATCTAATTGTTTGATTTCCTTCTCCGCTTTAAAAATATCTCACAAGTCCACATTTGGCGCTATCAATCACGTTGGAAGTTATGTGTCACGTTTTTTTTTTTTTTTCTTCCTCTCCAAATCTCTGGAACACAGCTATTCATTTATCTGCCAAAAGGAGTCGTCTTGGAGGATGAAACGGTATTTGTTTAAAGGGTAAAAGCTGCCAAGCGGTCCTGACATTTTTGTGATTCATGACGGCAGTATTTGGCCACTGGTGGAGTAGCCAACTGCTCGCAGCTAATCCTAAATCTGCTCCCTCCCTCCGTACCGATGAGAAAGCGGAGAAAAGATAAACCCTCATTTGGAAAAAGAGGTAAACAACACCGGCTCCCAGGCAGGTAAGGTACATATTTTTTTTTTTTTGGTCAGGTTTACCTTTCCAAGCAAAAAAAAAGAAAAAAGAAAAGAAAGAAAAGGGACGAGGGAAAGAAAGAAAGAAAGAAAGGAAGAAAAAAAAAAAAGAAAAAGCCCTTTGATTCTGAGTTGGTGGAAAAAAGTAAATTTACTCCAGTTGCCGTTCAATTTGGACCGGTGGACATTAAAGCAGGAGCCAGTGCCTAATAAGAGCCATGCCTGAGAGAGAGGGAGAGAGAAACCCAGTGGAGGTGTGTCTGAGTCTCGGCTCCAAGGTTCCTGCTAATAGATTTCAGCTCCCTCAGTGTCCCAATTAGCTGGTATGTATGCTCGGTTTATGAATTCATGTGTGGACGTCGAGTGTGTGAACACGCATGTACAGTACGTGCACAGATTTGCACGTATCGCCTGTTTCTATGTGTGTGTTTTTGGCCTTTGGGAGTAAGCGGCAGCAGTCGCCTGTTGTCTCTTGACATTGTCTAAAGCTCCCAATTAAAATAAACAGTCTGTTTCGTGCATTTAAAAAAAAAAAAGAAAGAAAGCCCCGAGCGCAGACCAAAAGGAATCAATTTACGCAGACCTACGCTCGGCAACAAAACGCCTATCAACATAAACACATGGCGACACAAACAGAGAAAACAAACAGATAAACCTGTCCAGTTTTAGAGCAGCTTTTACCGCTTTTTAAGGAAGAGCATTACAAAGAAAATAGTGGGTGCACTTTTAACCCTGACCCCGTGTGAGGACGGACAGGCAGGGCTCAGGACTTACCTGTAATAAACCCCCACGGCTTCCACACGTGACCGTAAATCACACGGCGTTGCCTTCAAAGTATCAAATATCAACTAATACAACGCCGCTCACCCCTGGCTTTTATCCCTCTTGTGTTTCCTTTCTCTGTGTTGTGGTGGTGGTGGTGGTGGCACTGCCTTTAAAGTGCAACCATCTCACTTTTTTAAAAGGCACGCCGGGCAATTTATTTACCAAGAAACTGCTGCCGTAAATGACAGAAAAAGCAGTACAATTTACTGACAAGTAGTGAATGGGGCAGTGGGAGGGGAGGCTCAGAACGAAGCCAGAGGTCTTGGCTGGGCCTGTGAAAGACTATAAAGCTTTAGTAGTAGCCCACGACCTGTTTATGGCTGGCTGAGACACTGTGGTGTGAGGCTCCTGATCACTCTGCAGCTCACGACTGCTGCTGCTCTTGCATAACATGCAAAAAAACAGGAGATGGTGGCAGAAAACACAAGCTATTAAACGCAGCGAGTACATCGATTTATTCTGCGAGGGGTGCTCCGGAGAAGAAGGAGAAGGTCTGACTCTTTTTAGTCTTAAATTTGAAAGAAAAGGAGCGATTTGAAAGCATAAAACTTCGAACGCTGTGTGAGGAATGAATGGGTAAATGATGCATTTCATTTTCCACAAAATGTCTCAGGCTCTTGGCATCGGTGCCCGCTGGTGTGGAGAATGAGCTGGCCGGGGCCCGCTGAGCTCGGGGAATAAGACTTGGTATGATTGGAACTTCGCTGCTCAGACTCGAATACCCACCAAGAGGATTCGAGGCAGATGTGGGCTAAAGTGGCTTCCTTGTAAGTGGCTTAAACCTTTAGCTTACCTCGTCTTCACCACGTCGAGGGGATGCATCAAGCAGATCTCCACCAGACCTGAGAAGTAAGAACAGCCAGGATTAGTCACATCCTCACAACTTTTCTATCAGTATTTTGTATTTAGCAGCACTAGTGTTGGAAAAAAAAAGTTTCATTGGAGCATATTTGTTTAAAGCTGAAGTGTGAGAAATTTTCACGTGAATAAACGTCCGTTATATTCGAGCTCTTGCCAAAGAACTTCACACAATGCTGATTATCATTGCGGAGCCAGTTTAATCTCTTTGTTTGGCAGGAAACCAGAGATTTAAAGTTGGTTACTGGAGCGACATTCCTGCACCGATGTACCAATAGCGGCGCGTTTTACGTCAGCCAGCAACGACTGAAATGCCAAAACTGAAGAGGGGAGCAACTGGAGCGACGGATTAAACTACTGTGACAAAAATAATGTTTCTGTTGCTGCAGATCAGGAGTCAAATGCCGATATAGGTTGTTAGTTATTAAGGAGGCAGATAACTGATATTTGGACCTGGTGTTTGCAGTAAAAATGAAAATCTTGAAGTCAAAATGTAGAATAAGACAAGCTCCAATACAAAACTTTGTTAAAATGCATTTGGTTATTTAGGTTTTGCACCTGCAGAGTTAAAAGAAAACTTGTCAGCATTAACATTAATGGCGACTGCTTGTGATGTGTAACCAATCAGATGAGAGAGGCAAAAGCTTTGCATTTTTTTATTTAATTTATTTGATCAGGAATTGGTTAAAAAAATAACAATGCTAATATAACAAATACTGCATATGGGATCAGATAACTGGGCAACACTTGCTGCAGATAAACAAGAAGCTCAACATTCAGACCTCTTACTGCTCGAAGAAGGAGACAAAAGTTCTGAGCTTCAGGTTCAACCATCATCTGACAATCCTCAAAAATTTAACTACAAACTGAGATTATAGCAGCTGAGGTGCAACAAAAACTGCTGGTGTTTTCTCCTACAAGCTTCTGTTGTGGGCGGAGGAGGTTCATGGTCGCACTGGGGAACTTTAAGACAGACTCAGTAGCAACACACACTTTTTTTTTTTGTTGTTAACAATGACTGTAATTCATAATAGATCCCTTGCTGTGAGCAAAAATGCAAAACAGTTGCTTTTCTCTGACTTTTGCTGGTTTATATCTGGTAAATTGAACACATTTGGGTTTTGGAACATTGGTTGTATCATACAAACAATATCTGAACAGTTTTTAGACAGTAAACAACATATTTAAACTGTTGGACTATCAATAAATAATGAGCAGATCAGTGGAGAATATACACATTAGACTTTTTTTTTTGCACATCACACCACTGCTATACATCACTCAGATCTTCCATATAGACTCAATGTGAACTTGTACATATCTGTTAAAGCCTGTAAGGATCAGATAGCAACATAAATCTGTTGCTTCACGTCAAGTGTGACAACTCACCTTCCAAGAAATCTGATAAGAAGGTTGCCTAACGACTAACCGGGGCAAAAGTCAGGGGATGTTTGTTCACTGGATATTTTTCTCCTTTCATTTTCAACTAAAGTCACCGTGCACATGCGCTGCTTGTCGCCACCAAATGGCTTCGACCCACCAGAACCTCACCATCGCTCGGCCTCATTTAAACGCTGGCTACTTGGGTAACTCTTGGTGTTTTGTGCCATCTTTGCCAGAGCACGAGCGATCCAGCGAAACTTCTCTTCAAATCCCTGTGATTGAGCGTAATTCCCGACATTTTGAACAGCTGAAGCCACCAACCATATCATCCACGCAAACCCAGTACATCAGTAACGTGCCAGCAGCTGGAGAATCAATGCAGCCGGCTGATCACTGAGAGACTCTGAGGTTTCACACACACGCTAACTATGTGCATCTGTGTTGAAAAGCCACTGCTTTGGCACAGAGAGGCCTTCTGACTCAATCAAGTTTTTTGTTTTTTTTTTTAAACTCGTGATTCGTCCCTTTACTGTTGCTCTGAGGGCTTCCCTTGCAGATTCCACTGTGTGTGTACACAGCTGCTGTGCAATATGGGTTCTTTCTAATTTGCTCAATTAAACATATTGTCTATAAAAGAGTGTGTCTTCTGGGGTTTTTCCAGGGAAGTAATTATCAAGTGAAATACCACAGAGAAAAAATTTCTTTGTTGACAGTTGCATCTTAATGTACGAATGGGAGAACTGAGAACTATTGAACCAAGAGTCAAGCAAAAATTCCATCTGTCACGGCTCAGTTGACCTGACTTTGGTTTCTTAATGATACCGCGCTAAGAAGGTAAATACAAAAGCTGCACTGGACAGATCATTTTCTAGCTTTGCTATTAATAGGCCTGCAGTGAAGATGAGGCGCGTCACATCTTTCAGCAGGTAATCAGATTACACGATGAAACCAAACCTGCCCGTCTGCTCAATCAACCTGTGCAAACACAGAGATGCTGGGAAGTGAACGAACATGTTCAAGGCGATCGAGGAGAAGAGCAGAGTTTGGGAAAAAGAAACAAAACTTCTGCGATGCAGTCCAAATGCCATGTTTGGACACTTACTAGGAGGGCAAACAAAGAAAAAACAGAAACAAATCTCCAAATCACTAAAAGCTCTCTGTGCGTGATACAAGTTAAAGTAAAGCAGGAGTCACAGAAACAAAACCCTCATGCTTCACTTTGTTCCATGTGTGGTTCTTCTATGGAGGCTAACTTGATGGCAAATAGAAATTTGAAAAAAACAAAGAAGTTTGACTAATTCAAGCCTTAAAATCACTCTGGTCTGGTCTCAGTGTGATTTATTGTATTGTTCTATTTAGAAATATTAACTTTTCCATCTGACCTCCATCTTTAAACACAAAGACGGCCTTCATTCATTGGCTGTGCTTTGGTCCAAGTTGGACAACTTTTAATTTCATCAACATTGCTACGGGGCTGATGCAGCACATCATATAGTAATAAAGATGGAAATGCACAATCTATTTACCTGGGATAATGTGAAAATGGAATAT